GATTTCGAAACAAAAAGCAACTACGAGAGACAATGTCCACCGATGGGTTGTAGGTGAGCGTGGAGAAAACGTAAAAATTGTAATCATTGTGTTGAAGGCTGGTTTTCTTTGTAAAACCTTATACGTGCTTGACTGACATCTCTCAATATTCATTGTTCCCTATTTTTGCGAAAATGAAAAAAAAAGTGTATCGTAGGGAACACACAAAATTACTTATTCGTGCAGAACATGAGATTTAATTATGATTTTATTCTTCTCATGTAGTATACTTTATTGCCCATGTTTAATCAACCAAAGTTCCTCAAAAGTTTGATTTTCTTTCCGTCTATTGCCAATTTCTGTTGAAACAAGTTATATTCCGCTTCTTCATCCACACTCTCGACAATCAGCGATATCTCGTTGGGAAGTTTGGTGATGTAGCGAACCGGCTGCAAACATGTAGGATTAATGTTTGCAAAAGAATCGTGAATGGGTGCTTGCTTAAACTAGTTCTGCAATGTCGTAAGGAGATTAGTCGGAACAGCTATTTTTGGGATGAAAACGGGAAAAGTAGTGGGGAAAATACTGTAATGGTTATATCTCAATCGAAATTGGTTCGAATTTCGTTCTCCCTTGCTAATGGATAGAGAAAGGATTTCAAGAAAATTGCAGAACTGTACTGTTTTGTTTCTGTAGGTCAGATATCGCTAGAGTGATTAGAATTTTGAAATCTTAGATTCGCTGGAGATGACAGCACTGTTTTTTCCTTGTTCTCTGTTCTTAAAGTGTCCCTTTCTTTTTATTCAGTGTTTTAATGCGCAAAACTTGTCTTTTCTTCGCGATCGAAAAAAGTGAAGTAATGCATTAACTTTTTCTTCAAATTGGCTAAATTTTTTTTGAAAAACATTGAACAGAGAAGAATGCAAGTGACATTCAAAAGAAATGAAAAGTTTTGTTAACACTGGAATAAAATACTGTAGTTGGGTTAGGAAAACTTTTTTTTAAACTTTGCAGCTGCTACTCTTCATTTTAAAGAGCAAGCTTACTTTCAAAAAAGTATGTTGCATACTTTTGATTGATTGATTTTAGGAGGCAAAATTTTTAGTTTTGAAGGGAGAAAATGCTTCATCTAAAAATGGCACATTACACCATTTTTAGGAAATAGGATTTCCTCAACTTTAAGCTGAATCTGTCACAGCGATGAAACCGTGAAAATACTCGCTCGTTCCAGTATGCACTAGAAAAAACACATTTTATCGCATTTACACAGAGATATTTATATTTGCTAGCAGTCTTGATTTCGAAAAAATTTATATGGTTTGGAAGTGGTAAAAACTTGACAATGTTACGAGTACAAATTTGGTTTCCAAGACTGTTTCTGGCTTTAATCAAACAAAAGCATGGTAGAGGAATAGCAGTGCAAAAAGAGGTTTTTTCCAACAATTAGCTCTCCTATCGTATCAAAGTACGTCATGTGATCAGATGAAATGAAACACCGTATTTTACAGCGTCCTGTACCCAAGAAGTCATGGAAGTCAGTATGTTAGTCAACATATGGGCATTGCGTTAAACAAAAAACATTTAAAGAATACAGAAATTTATCAGATTCGAAAAAAACAAGTGATTTTCTGAGTAGCATAGAATTTTTAGGGGGATGGGGGATTTTAGAGGGGGGATTTCAATTAAAAGGAGTTCAAGAAATTTTTTTAAATTGAATTTGGGTCATTGGGTTAGCAATTTATGTAATTCCAATGATGATGTAGTAAAAATCGTATATAT